TACTTTCTTAACAGCTCTTGAGGAATCTCACCCTCTGCCTTGCGACCACCATTCGTGGCTTGTGTCTCAGCTTGAGTATCATGTTCAACCTCCATTGAGTCCTGCTCGGCTTGGCTAAGAGGGTGACTTCGGCTATGTGATCCGACGATGAATCGTGCCAGACGCTCATCCTCTTCGGGCTCAACGGTGTCTCGTACCACACACAGGATGTCAAAACGAGACAAGATAGGCTCTGTTAACTCAACATTGGCAGAGAATGGGGCAGTAGAGTTGTATCGTCCACCGATGGGATTGGCAGCAGCGATGACACCACATCGAGCTTGTAGAGTGGTGACAATACCGGCCTTGGAGATGGAGATGGTCTGCTGTTCCATGGCTTCGTGAATAGATGTTCGATCTTGGTCGTTCATCTTGTCAAACTCGTCAATGAGGCAAGTTCCACGATCAGCCAACACCAGAGCACCACCTTCTAATGTCCATTCACTGGTGAGAGGATCTCTTCGGACACTGGCCGTCAGACCGACAGCACTGGCACCCTGACCTGTAGCAAAAACAGCTCGATGGGCTGTCTTCTCGGCGTACTTGAGAACCTGGGACTTGGCTGTACCAGGATCGCCGAGGAGAAGCACATTGATGTCACCTCGGAGGTGATGTGCACCCTTGGTGACCTTCGCAACACCACCGAAGAGTGACAAAGCCACGGCAGTCTTGACGTCAGTATGTCCATAAATACTAGGTGCTATCGAGTTGATGATCTTGTCCACGATGTTGGGGTCGCGAGACAACTTGCGGATGTTATGCTCATCCTCCTCAGTCATTCGGAAACCAGCTAGCTGGTCATGAGACTTGACAACATTGTTTGCTTCGAGAATAGTAGCAAACACAGGGAAGCCATTGCGGTTGTTGAGCTGGGCATCATAGTTGTTGCGGTAGATTCCAGTCACTTCAATCTCCTCACCAGGCTTTGCCTTGTCGATCAGATCCCAGAGAAGGATAACCTCGCGCGATCGTGGCAATCGACCAGCGGGTACTGTTCCAGGAGATTCTTGGAGAGTGAGTTTCTGATAGTTTCGGTAGACGGTCTTCTCAGAGTTGAGAGTAAAGGGGCCTCGCGACTGGCAACTTTGGCAGAATGTGATCTTGACCTCGACGTTTGACTCTTGCTGGAAAGGTCCAAGGGTCACGCCGCACTTGCTGCAGTCGAACTTGACGTACTTGAGCTGAGGGAAGACACCCGATCGTCGAGTGACGACACCGCTGACTCGAACAAGGCAGTTGAGATGCGACTGACGGAGCTGTCGTAGGGTGTAGTGCACAGGCAGATCAAAAATGCGAACATGAATCTCGGCGTGAATGCGCTCGTAATCGGGGTAGTGAAGCAGAACAACGTCCATGGCAACCTCGTCGAATAACTTGATAATCTCTTGAGGCGCATTGGCCAGGAAGTAAGCCAGAATGGCCTTGCTTTCGGACAGGTGTTCGTATGAGACCTCTAGAGACTCGGCGTTGATCTCACCGAGAGTTCGGATCCGGTTACCGTAGACGGACGAACCAGAGCTATCGGTGTAGGATGTGAGGAAAGCCTTGAACTCGCGTCTAATGGTTCGCTGAACTGAGGGTTGCGACACCCACTCGGTGAGGTTGGAAGCCTTGACATCAGCAAGTGCTTCAAGCGAGAGTTCCTCGGCCATGATGTCGGTGTCCATGATGTCGTCGGGATCTTCATCGTAATGATGACGGCGACGTCGGGGCTGAGCTGTGAGATCAATGTCGCCATCCTCTTCATCGCCATCGAGGTAAATATTGGGGATTTCCCTTCTGACTGCTTGATCTCTTCGGTTGAGCTGAGCTTCTAGCCGACGCCGATCCGCAAGGTTCATCTCGTCATAATCGCCCTCATCGTCAATGCCAATGCCTTCGTACATATCGTTCTCTCGATCTTGGTAATCGGCCTCGTAGCCTTCACGGAACAGATCAACGTCATCCTCTGCCATTTCGTCAAGCTCGTCGATATCGTCTTGGATCTGGGCCTCTTCCTCGATGTCATCGTCGTCCTCGACACCATGTGCCATGTTGAACTCGGCAGGGGGCGAAGAAGGCATAGGGCTTGAGCCGAAGGCTGCTGGTGAAGGGCCATCGCTGCCTCCTGTTCGCGATCGCTTTCTATTCGGACGAGCCGAAGAAGGGTGTAGCGGGGAACTTCAACTGGTTGTCAGCTAATTTTCTTTTGTTTAAATGGTGGTCCAGAACACGCTGGGGAGACAAACCTCATAATTGCAACTCCTCAAAGATATCGAGATTCGGTGATATCGTGATAGAGTATCTGGCCAATTCGGGAGACCAAAAGTTTGGTTTGAACTGAAAGTGACAAGATTGAGGGGCTCAATTTGTGGTCATGGTTGGAAGGGGAACGACAGCATGAAAGTGGGTGCAGTTGACAAGGGGTAATTTCGCGTATCAGGGCGCGACTTGACGCGTTAATTGATTGGTACTGACGTGCCACGCGTAAAGTGGTTTGCCTCCAGCGACAGAATTACTTGATCAAATCTCAGTGGAAAGTCGCCTGTAGATCCCCGCGCTATTATAGCACCTTCCAAGCTTCGCAACCTCCAACTCGAGCTGTAAGGTACCTGTCGCACTGTCGATAACGCCCGCACCTTAGCTGACCTTTCTCCTCGTCTTGTACTTGTACAAGTATCAAACCTTGCATCACCCATCAATTCTGACAAATCTGTCATCCGATCCTTCAATTGTCATCCTTCATCTGTTTCTTTCTTTTCTACATTTATCTTCCATATTCGACATCCTCTGATTTCATCAATCCCAATCATGTCTGCAGATACTCCCTCGGCCTCTGCGCCCGCGCAAGATGCGCCTCAACAACAATCTCGAGAACGCAAGGAGAGCTTTTCTGGAAAATCGGAAACCTCAGAGACATCGCAAACAGCTGCTGAGTAGGATTCCAATGTCTCTGAAAATGCAATGGCTCTCTAACACCAACTAGGTTTATTCGATCTCAGGAAGCTCTTGAAGCTGATGCCCGCGAGGCATTGCCTTACGTATGTTACCACTCTTTTCTTAATCACGACATGCGCTCACGAATCCACAGAGCATTGATACATGCACCAAAATCCTCGGTCCTCTGCGACAAGCTGTCTTTGCCTGCTTGACTTGCAACCCCCCACCAGCGAAAGAAGGCGACGACTGGACCCCCGCTGGTGTCTGCTATGCTTGTTCCATCCAGTGTCACGGCGAACATACCCTCGTCGAGATCTTCCAGAAGCGCAACTTCACATGTGACTGCGGCACCAAGCGCATCCCATCAACAAGCCCATGCACTCTCCGCTTGAACGAGGCCACTAACACTCGGGGTGGTGTTCACTCCGAGGAGCCCGATGTGAACAACAAGTACAACCACAACTTCCGCAATAGATTCTGCGGCTGCGAGTGCGACTATGACCCGTTCCAACAGAAGGGTACAATGTTCCAGTGCCTTGGTCTGGGAACCACTGAAACAGGTGGATGCGGCGAAGACTGGTATCATCCAGGATGTCTTGTTGGCATGGGGCCTAACTGGTTCGAGAAGATGGAGAAGCCTAAGAAGGCAGCCAAAGAGAATGCTGATGGAGGCAAATTGATGACCATCACCGAGGGTAACGAAGAGCAACAGAATTCTGCCGAGAAGCCCGGAGAGACGAACGGTACTGCTCATCCTATTGCTGAGGAAGAGGATGAGGAAGAGGACGTCCCCATGCCTCCTGGATTCCCAGAGGAGGATGCCTTCGAAGCCTTCCTATGCTACAAGTGTGTCGATGCGCATCCCTGGATCGAGCGCTACGCTGGAACCTCCGGCTTTCTTCCAGCAGTCTTCGTCAACCAAGCCGACTCCGAGACAAAGATTGAAGCAACCTCTATTGAGGAGGAGTCTTCCGCTACTACTGAGCCAGCCCCTACCAACGAGCCCACTCAGGAGTCGCGAAAGCGCAAGGCCGAAGATGATGCCGAGGAGTCTGCAGAAGCTAAGCGTGTAAAGAGCGAGTCCTTACCTGAAGATGCGAAGCCCGCAAAGACACCCTCCACAGATACACTTCCATGCAAGCTGAAGAATCTCCCTCCTGCCCCTCTGGGCCAGTTCTCGCTTTTCATGACAGAAGACTTCCGCGAAGCCTTTTGCCGCTGCTTGTCCTGTTATCCCAACCTCAACCCCCACCCTCAGCTTCTCGAAGAGGAGGAAGTCTACGAACCACCTCTGTCCGACGGTGGTTCCCAAGCAGGTGGTAATGGCGGTGGATCGCATGGCAGTGGCAGTCTCCTCGAGCGTGGCGAGAGCGCACTTCGCAATGTCGACCGCGTACGTGCCATTGAGGGTGTCATGGCATACAACCATCTCAAGGAACGACTCAAGCCATTCTTCCAGCAGTTCGCTGAAAGTGGACAAGCGATTGGCGCTGAAGATATCAAGGCATACTTTGCCAAGCTGAGAGGTGATGAGCAGGGTATTCAGGAGGCAGCTGCTGGAGCAAAGGATGGCGAGGGTGGTAGCAGCGGTGATGGAGGTTCGCGAAAGGAGCAGAGTGGTTACTAATCATTAGAATATGGGACTTGAACATGAAATCGATGTTACAAGAGTGAGCGGGGAGTTGACTGGACTGGATCCACGGCTGGGTTATTTGGTGTAAGAGTAGTGTACAGTAAAGGCGGCATACCATGATTTGATACCGAAAATGGAGATATAAAGATATTGCAAGATGATGCTTCATACAAAACTCAACCAGTTTCTCTTTCGATGACCACTATTCATGATAATAAGCACCGAATCAGGCAAGATAACGCTGCATTTTGTCGTGCCTCCTGATGCTCAGGGAAACCAAGCAATAGCATGTTTCTAGCACATAAAATCCATTTATTCCTATAGTACATATCCATTCATGTCTTGGGTATCGCTAAATCAAAACATTCCCATTTTTCAAGCCGTCGCCATGTCCTTCAAAAACTCCCACTTACTGCCCCGTCGACCCTGTACTTGACGCAGCACTCGACGGCCGAGGTGGCAGCGCAGGTACACCATGCGAAGCCCCAGAATCTTCCCTCTGCATCGGAATACCTCCCATCATACCCATCCCAATGCCCGTACCCGGTAGTGGCAGCTGAGGCGGTGGACCTTGTCCATCACTATCCTCCGCCTGACTGTCCAGCTGCTCCTGCGCCGCCTTGAGGTCCAATTCATGTAGCCTTTGCTTTTCGGCTGGGTCGATGATATCATCATCATCACTCCAGTAGGGATCATCATCGTCGAGTTCAGGCATGGCCATGCGCTTCCAGAACCGCAGCTCCTGACGATGCGCTTTCTCATCAACGAGTTTGTTCCAGCGCCCTTCGTCTTCGTCGTACTTGCGCCGGTACTCGCGAAGACTTTCGTTGGCGCGGCCTGCGTGCGCCTGCATCTGCCAGATTTGTTCGCGAAGACGAGCATTCTCGTCACGTGCGTCGGCGAGTTGCTTACGGTAGGAGCGGTGCCAGGCGGCTACGTCGCTGACGTGCTTTGTCTTGTACTCGTGGAACTGTCGAAGAAGGTTTGCCATGGCGTTGGCGTATTGCGAGAGGAGTTTGGCATTGGCGTCACGGCTGAACTTTGCCTTTTCGAGGGATTCTGTGAGGAGCGATACAAGGGCGTCAATGTTTTGTTCTTGGCCTGAGCAAGTTAGCTGTGGTTCAGTGAGTGTAAGATAGGAGACATACCATTTATATCATCGGCCGCATTTTCGATTACTTGCGAATTGCTGACCCCCTGTGCCCTCGCCCTGTTCCTCACTCTTCCTAGGCCATTGACAATATCCTCTGTAACTCTTCGGTTCTCTGCAAGTTGGCGGCTGAGTTCCTCAACCATACCATAAATGTAGTTGAGTTCAGCTTGGTGGCCCGCAGGCGTAGGAACAGGCATCCCAGCAGCCATGTTCGTCCCATTCATGCCATTCATCATAGCGATCTGCTGCTGCTGCCACTGATGCTGCGGCTGCGGGGAGTACTGCTGCTGCTGCTGCTGATACTGTTGTTGTTGTTGCTGCTGCTGGTAGTGACGCGCCGTGGATGTTGGGGATGGCGCAGGCGCGGGAGAAGAAGGTGAGGATAGTGATGGATCGTGGGGGTTCGGGCTTGGAGGCGCTTGAAAGCTCATGTCTTGTCCACTCGGGAACCTGGGCCTCGAGCGTTTGGAGGATGGTGTTGGTTGTCTTAGCCTTGTTTGTGGATGGAGCTGGATGCTTGATTTGGTATAGCCTAGCGGTTCTCCCCCTCAGTGTTGCGACACTTCACCAGCACTCGGAGGGGCGCAAAATTATTTTACCGACGACGGTGGACCTTGATTGACAACGAGTGAGGAAAACCCTGAGCAAAATGTTTATAGAAGGGTCTTTATTATACAAGTAATTGTTTCATTGAAGCTTGCTGATTCTTTGGCACTTGAAGACAAATTCCAATTGATCATACTACTGGAGATAACCTAACTTTAAAACATGTACCCCTATATTCAGGAACAAGTCATTCCCTGGACTATACAAAAGCGGGATCACTTATACTAGCAAGCTCATTTGATTGTCTCTTATTTTGATGATCGACTTTTTGTATCCTCTTACATTTCTCATAACTCCAGCCGGATTGAACTCAATCCGTCCCGTCAGGGTAGTCTTTATGAGAGGTCATCTAAGCGAGTGACTGCTGAGCAAGGTAGCGACTGTCACTACTATAGGAAAGGAAAGCTGTATAAAATCTCAGGTCATTTACTTCGTTTCGTCATATCGTTGGGTGCATTGCACTGATTCGTAACAAGGGTCCTGTAGTCAGTCACCAAGCGCCAAATTTTTTCTCTCACTCTGGAGTGTCAACCTCCATCCTGTCTTCTGAAGGCTTTGTGTCCATGATCAAGGAGTCTTCCGCCGGCTGTGAGGGTTCAAGTGTCGATGTCGATGTCATAGTCGACTCTTTTTGTTCAAAGACAGGGGGAACAGCTGCGCTGCTGCCACTCGTACTCCCAGTACCCCCGCCGCTTCCCATACCGTTGCTAGCCGACAACCGGTATTCGCCATCAGGCTTGCGCTCAATGATACCCTCATCCAGTGCCCACTGGGCCAGAAGGCCATCGACTCCAAGCCTGCCACCTTCGCCCTTCTCCATGTGCCGACCGACATGCTCAGTCCACTCGTCCCAAGATGATGGGCCTTCGAAGATGCTCTGGCAGCCTTGCTTCGGGCATGCTGAGCGCTGCGGTGGTAACCGACGCTGAACAAGGCACGACACTTGCATGTCCTTCACATGCGTATCCCACTCAGATTGTAGTTTACTATCGCCCTTAGCAATCGCTCTCTTGATCTGAAAGGGTGCATGCATGCGTCGCAAGTGTTGGGTGAACAAATCTTTGCGATTGAACTCGTTGCCCTTGCCCTCGGCCGTGGTCTGAGGGCAGGATGAACAACGATAGTACTGCAGACACAGATGTTGAGATGCAATATGTCGCTTCCATTCGTTCTTGGATCCAAAAGTGCTGGTACATCCCGCGAACGAAAACGCACATGGGAACGGCCTTGTATGAGCCGCAGCAATGTGTTTCCTCAACGAAGACGAATCCTTGAAAGGAGCATGACTGCAGTGATTGCAACGCGTGTCCTGCTTGGGGAGTGACCTCCGTGGTGGCTTGGTTGTCGCGTTGGCATTGCGAAGTGTTGCCAAAGGATCATCGTTACCATGCTCCTCAGTCTCGCCTTCAGGCCTTATGTCAGGCATCCCGTCGGGAAGAATCGTGCGCGGCCTGTTGATATTTTGGGTCTCGTCGCTGCGATGCCGAACATGGCTCAAGGCCTTCAATTGCTCAGCAGCTTCCTGCATCTCCGCAGAGTCCTCCACTTCGTCTTTGGGTTTCCCATGTCCACCTGCTGGGTTCGCATACGATGGTGCTGAAGGACTTGTCTGCGGAAGATGCTCGTTTCGCTCTACAGAGTTGGGAGTTTCCCTCACGGCAGGAGAATGAAAAGAGATATCGTGACCCTCGTCTCGTCGTACACGTGCAGGTGTTCCATATGCGTGGTCCCTTGCCTCCAGGAGAATTCGGCCGTCTTCGACTTCTCTTGCAGATGGCTTAATACCAGAAGACCCTACAAGTCTGTGATACAAGTGAATCATGTTGTGAGAGCTTATATACCCCAAGAAGCAACAAACTTTGTCGTGCTGTACCACGTTCCAGATGGAGTGAGGCATGGAGATAAGGAGCATTGTAGGTGGTCCAAGGAACATGCCTTCTACAGCGATTTTGTCGCCAAGAGGCGGCGTGCTTTGTAGCCATTGGGAGAAAAAGGACATATCTGGGCTAGCATCACCAACAAAGGTCGTACAGACGAGGACACGGTGCTCTTCGAACCTGAGGTCAACGACTGACTCTGGGTCAATGAGCTGTTCTTCGCGGTTCCCTTGGCCCTCTACGTCGACTCCATTCTGTGATTCCGAACGAGGTCTCGAGGGCATTGGCGCAAGAGCAATACTATGTCCCTTTCCTGGTGTCAGGGGCATAAAAACCGGCTGATTTGGGAACGAATGTGTATTCGAGGTACTGCCATTCGTTTTCCGGGGAGTCTGAACAAGTTGCTGCTGCTGCTTCAGCGACAACACTTCCTCGTGGAGCTTCTGTGTCGTAAAGGGGCGCCCGCTACTAAGCTTTTGCAAAGCCTCGACCAAATTTGACGTAAAGGAGCGGTCTGTACTGTCTGGGCTACGGTCGGATGTACAGGCTGCTATGGCTTGCTTCACGCCGTGACTACCGGCCATGGGAGGATCCGGTAACGCGCATGTGTCCAGCAACAAGAGGATATCGGACTGGGCATCCTCGAACAGGCAACGGACACCATCCCACTTGAGTTTTGCAGCATCTTCTCGTGCATTACTATGGGAAAACTGTCAGAGGCAGGAGGAAGAGGACATTTGAGAAATATTCGACTCACCAAGCCCAGAAAAGCTGGCCATCAGATCTTACGTAGCCCTGGCCAGCATAGTAGATAATGAGCAGATGATTGGCTCTTGCATTCTCGAGAAAAGAAGCAATCTGAACTCCGAGCTTTACGCTAGGGTTCGGTACTGTGGGAATGTGCCATCGCTCAGTTCGGTATTTGTAGTGCTTCTGGAACACTTGCTCGAGTGCAGCCAGGTCTTCATCAACAGACTTGTCTTCTTCCCACCTTAATAGTAACACAGAAACGTCAGTGTATGGGTGACGCTCGGTCTGTCTCTGGATCAGCATAGCAGCATCCTGTAGATGCCGCGCAAAAGACTCGAAATCATGTCTTTCGGAAAGAGGAGCTGCGACCTCCTGAGCTGGATAATGTTGCTGAGGCTATATCCAAGCCTGGGTTAGCAAGGACAAGCGGAAAGCTGGAAAGCAAAGCTGACCGATTCGTGAGGGAATTGTGTTGGCGGTGGCGGCTTGCTAGGAGTCGTATTGACCTTAGGTGCCAGCTTTCGCTTTTTGCTCGAAGGTTCCATCGGGCAAGGCTGTGAGTCGATGTAGATGCAGTCGTCAGCAGGTTAAGCCGGCGGAGGTCATTGATCAATCGAGGACGAATCGGCCAAGCGATCGAGCACGAAAGTTCCTGCTACCTAGTCGTTGGTTAAGAATCAATATCGTCGCAATTTCGGTATAATTGATGTCGAAGAAAAGTGAATAGAGACGGCGAAACAAAGATATACGGGCAGTGGAGGGAATTGAAATCGAAATCGAACGATGTGCGAACAAAGTCTCGGCTGATGAGGTCAGAAGGAGGGACAAGGTAGAGGCCAATGGCTACAGAAATGTGGAAAGTCAAAGCACGCCCACGAGAAAAGAGACACCCAAAGTCGCAAGAGGTGAAAGAAGAAGAAAATGGCAAAGAGGAAACAGGTGAGGCTGGCTCGGCGAGGCTATCGTGGCCGACCTAGGCCCAGGTTATGGAAGATGGGTACAGTGGGTGCTAGGGGTTCTTCATTGGCTATTAGCCGAGCAGAAATGCCACAGAAGAGGAGAGCCAAACTGAAAGTGGCGGCCTCCGCCTCCACTTCGTCAGCCTCTCACTCGCCAAGAGCAAGGTCAAGTCAACGCGTGCACCTCAGCGAGAGCTGGGTAAGATGGGGCTGTTTCTGTTTCGCCTTGTACGCACAACAAGAGCATACCGATTGATTGTCTGATCATGTACTCACTTTTGAACAATTTCCCAGTATCGGGTTACTTCACCTCACTTGGCTCAGCAGCAAACTCAGCCAGGTAGCTGTCTTGTCTCAGCAACTCCTGTGAGAAAAGAAAAAAAGGTAGTTGGAACTACCATGGAGGGGTTGAATGTTGAACTGAGGGGGTTTGACGAATGGAACCAAAGATGGAAGGCTTCACAAAAGTTCTCAGCTGATAAAAGAAGGAGGAGGAGGTAGGAGAGGAAAAGTCTAGATCAGCATTATTTCCAGCGCCTTACCTACCTTGCTTGAGCTTGAGCTGCACAAATCATCCATGGCCAGCACAGCTAAAGTTCTCACACAACTTTGAACAACTCCCCCAGCCAATCCGAGCCTCATACTCCATCCCCTCTATTCTCGCAACACGCTACAGATTCACTGAGACGGACGCCAGGTGGGCTGCGATAAGATTGACACATTGGGGAGCGGTCGAGTTAAATATGGTGTGTTTTTCTTCGTAGTGAATCACTCTCATTGAGTTGACTTCACCCTCCAAACTCTGATAACGGCCTCTACTGGCAATACCCTCATTACCAGACCTACCTTACTTATCTCACCCGTGTCGAGGTACTACAGTGTGTGAATTTATCCCGATCCACCTGAGCGCTAACTACGACGAGACCAAGAGCACCGAGGCTGGTCTGGGGTCTTGTCCTTTGTGGGCCGCTTTTTGAGACCCTGAAATGTGTTTTGCAGTTGCAGCGATTTAGCTCAAGCTGATCAGCCTTCAGAGTTTCAACGGCGCAAGCCCCCCTCAATCGTCTACACCCAAACACTTGCTATCGTCCTCGGTTATCATTCGATTCATACTTCAATGTCACCATGGCATAACCAAATCGAAAGTATTGCAGCAATGAGCTTTCGGGGTGGAGAAATGGCGCACCCAACTCAACGCCCGGACGAGCCGTGTCGACTTGTCAACACGGCTGTGGACAG